GCTGTAGATTTCGCGATAACTGAGAGAAGCAAATTTTCATGTTCGGAAACGTTTCGCGCTTTCATAGCAACAGTTACGCGGTTCGAATTTACACGTTCTGTGGTGTTTTCTGAATAGAATGGTATAGTTTAACGTTCAATTGTGATCGAGGAATCGAGTTCAGGTAACGATCAAAGGGAGAAAGGCAACTGACGCGTTTCAGACGTTCTTTCCGCATTCAGCCTTTTTTGATCGTTTTCTCGTACTCATAATTCAACATCTAACCGTGCCATTTTATTCACAGTACTCCGCGGAATATTATCATGTTAATGAGAATCGTATAACAGTTACCGCGAGACCGCAAGACGTTTTCATATCCGTGTAGACGCGTCCAAACGTAAATCTTGAAATAAACTCTAAATTTAGATCTCGAAACCTTGTTGAAGAAAATCCTAAATTTAAACTCTGATGAAATGTAACTTAGCTACATTGAAAGTAGAGATTTCAATCTTCGATACGAGTCTAAGTAGATCATTGTCCGATTTGTTTTCACAAAGTTATAATGGATTGAAGTACCAACTGATGTTATTTCAAAATGATAGCAGAGAGTTAGTCACCCTTTTATACCAGACGGTTTCAATCGTTTGTAAAGGTATCAATTTTAATTCTTCCGTATTGAAAAAATTTAAAAACATTGTTGAAACGTGAGGCAAAGTGTTCACAAAAGGTCAATAGTAGCAAGTTTTTTGATATCTGGGTAAAAAATTCTTAAACTGGATCTTAAACGTTCGAGGAGGATATTGCCATTGTTCTATGCACTTCAACGAGTTTTTAATCGTGTCTCTGTGTTTATAATGAAATTATATTTATATTATGTTAATAATATATGATATATTATTATATGTTACTACTATAATATTATATTATTAATTTATTATAATATATTAATATCCTTGTGTATCTGTCTCTTATACACATCTAGATGTGTATAAGAGACAGATATTATCATTAGAGTAGAGATGTGTATAAGAGACAGATATTATCATTAGAGTAGAGATGTGTATAAGAGACAGATATTATCATTAGAGTAGAGATGTGTATAAGAGACAGATATTATCATTAGAGTAGAGATGTGTATAAGAGACAGATATTATCATTAGAGTAGAGATGTGTATAAGAGACAGATATTATCATTAGAGTAGAGATGTGTATAAGAGACAGATATTATCATTAGAGTAGAGATGTGTATAAGAGACAGATATTATCATTAGAGTAGAGATGTGTATAAGAGACAGATATTATCATTAGAGTAGAGATGTGTATAAGAGACAGATATTATCATTAGAGTAGAGATGTGTATAAGAGACAGATATTATCATTAGAGTAGAGATGTGTATAAGAGACAGATATTATCATTAGAGTAGAGATGTGTATAAGAGACAGATATTATCATTAGAGTAGAGATGTGTATAAGAGACAGATATTATCATTAGAGTAGAGATGTGTATAAGAGACAGATATTATCATTAGAGTAGAGATGTGTATAAGAGACAGATATTATCATTAGAGTAGAGATGTGTATAAGAGACAGATATTATCATTAGAGTAGAGATGTGTATAAGAGACAGATATTATCATTAGAGTAGAGATGTGTATAAGAGACAGATATTATCATTAGAGTAGAGATGTGTATAAGAGACAGATATTATCATTAGAGTAGAGATGTGTATAAGAGACAGATATTATCATTAGAGTAGAGATGTGTATAAGAGACAGATATTATCATTAGAGTAGAGATGTGTATAAGAGACAGATATTATCATTAGAGTAGAGATGTGTATAAGAGACAGATATTATCATTAGAGTAGAGATGTGTATAAGAGACAGATATTATCATTAGAGTAGAGATGTGTATAAGAGACAGATATTATCATTAGAGTAGAGATGTGTATAAGAGACAGATATTATCATTAGAGTAGAGATGTGTATAAGAGACAGATATTATCATTAGAGTAGAGATGTGTATAAGAGACAGATATTATCATTAGAGTAGAGATGTGTATAAGAGACAGATATTATCATTAGAGTAGAGATGTGTATAAGAGACAGATATTATCATTAGAGTAGAGATGTGTATAAGAGACAGATATTATCATTAGAGTAGAGATGTGTATAAGAGACAGATATTATCATTAGAGTAGAGATGTGTATAAGAGACAGATATTATCATTAGAGTAGAGATGTGTATAAGAGACAGATATTATCATTAGAGTAGAGATGTGTATAAGAGACAGATATTATCATTAGAGTAGAGATGTGTATAAGAGACAGATATTATCATTAGAGTAGAGATGTGTATAAGAGACAGATATTATCATTAGAGTAGAGATGTGTATAAGAGACAGATATTATCATTAGAGTAGAGATGTGTATAAGAGACAGATATTATCATTAGAGTAGAGATGTGTATAAGAGACAGATATTATCATTAGAGTAGAGATGTGTATAAGAGACAGATATTATCATTAGAGTAGAGATGTGTATAAGAGACAGATATTATCATTAGAGTAGAGATGTGTATAAGAGACAGATATTATCATTAGAGTAGAGATGTGTATAAGAGACAGATATTATCATTAGAGTAGAGATGTGTATAAGAGACAGATATTATCATTAGAGTAGAGATGTGTATAAGAGACAGATATTATCATTAGAGTAGAGATGTGTATAAGAGACAGATATTATCATTAGAGTAGAGATGTGTATAAGAGACAGATATTATCATTAGAGTAGAGATGTGTATAAGAGACAGATATTATCATTAGAGTAGAGATGTGTATAAGAGACAGATATTATCATTAGAGTAGAGATGTGTATAAGAGACAGATATTATCATTAGAGTAGAGATGTGTATAAGAGACAGATATTATCATTAGAGTAGAGATGTGTATAAGAGACAGATACACAAGGATATTAATATACAATAATAAATTAATAATATAATATTATAGCTGTCTCTTATACACATCTCTACTCTAATGATAATATATTATTAATTTATTATTGTATACTAATATCCTTGTGCATAATATGATATATAAGTATATATTATTTTAGATATTATGAATATATATACTAGTATATTATGTATCATATTCTATATTAATAATATATAATATAATATTTTACGTTACTACTATAATAATACCATATCATTAATACGTAAAATATAAATATACTTTCATTATAAACGCAGAGACATGATTAAAAAATCGTTGAATTAATTACTACTGCATAAATTGTTATGTTAATAATATTGAATATAATTTATAATGTATTATTATATTAATAATATCTAATAATATATAGTAGTATATTATACACAGTAATTATACATATTATTGTTCAAGCTAGGGTTGTATAACTTTTTTTATAACTTATATTGCCGTCGAGAGTAGAATATCGACAAATCCAGCTTTTATTCTCTTCATGTTGGCATTAATCGATAAAGAGTCTCGCTTTTTATTTCACGAACAGTAATCATAGGAGGCGTTTTGTAAAATCTAGAAACGGGAAACGGTCGAGTTTTCGCGAACGGGTTAAAGGGAGGTTTTAATATCGTCCCGACGTGACCTTTTTTTCGCATTTTATGGTCTGTTTTTCTGTTTCTTCTCCTTTTTACATGGATTACAAAAGAATCTGAACAATATTCTATAGCGACTGATAGGAAATCGATAAGGCACGCGAGTCACCGACGTCCAGCAGCATGAAAAGTGTATTATTCATGGCACTCGTGCAGCACATGTATGTATCACGTTTCTTCTTAATGAATTTAAAGGTACGCTGCCGTGCATCACGTGCGACACGCTTCGTTACGTATCGCGGCTCCATATTTTCTCGAACAATTCATTTTATTAATTCAACCTTTTATCCACTCGAATAGATCATCCATTTTCTTCTTTCTTGTTTGTCCAATTTTCAGATCGGCGAATTTAAATTGTCGACGCTGTTTCGTCGTGCGTGCCAAAAATGAAACGAAAAATATTATTTGTCGTTTACATAATTTTAACAGCTTGTTGTCTTTCTCATTTATTTTAAATATGCGAAAGTTTATCAATTACGATTTCTACGAAGCAATGGAAACACAAAATTGTTTGCTAATGAACTTAAACAATTTTAATGTTTTTTTTTTAGCTGTATTAAGAATTATAAAAAAAAGAAGCGAGATTATTCACGACACGTTTCTTTCACCAAAAGTCAAGAGAGTATGTTTTTAAAAACATTTTTGAAATTCTTTATCCAGTGTGTCCTAAAAGTAGTGACACAGTCGGTCATAACGATGGTGTTATCTTATTTTTACAGGTAGAATTGCTGGCTAACCGGTTGCGCCACGATGTTTAGAACACTCTTCTGTATAGTTAATCTGGTGAACGAAAAATTGTCCAAACATTGGCAATTCAAAAATCCTTTACAAACGCAACGAGTCAGACGAGAGCAATGCAAAAGATATAAAAATATTTTTTAATATTTATTGAATCAGATAAGAACATATTTCGCCACCAAAAATTCTCGAACTGTAAAAATAATTTTCGAATTTTTAACATTCAATGTTGCCAACGAAGACCCTCGAATCGGAAACAATAATTCTTCTTAAACGCATCAAGTGAAAATATGATGATAAAGAAATGCAGGAATATTTTCAACGTTTATTAAATCGAGCGAAAATATTTTGCCACCAAACATACTGGAGTTAAATGGTAAAAGAAATTGTCGAATTTTGACTTTTAATATTGTTAACGAAGAATCTCGAATCACCCAAATAGCAATTACAACGATTCATCTTGAATGCACCGACCAAAGATATCATAAAAAAACACATAAATAAACAAGGAAAGATATTTTACTACCGAAAATTGCAGGGTTGAACGGTCGTGAGAATTGAATAACGAAAAATTCATATCTAGGATTTGCGGATGTGTAAGAGTGCAAATGAAAAATGAGGTGATCTGTTATGTTTCCAGGAAACGGGAGAGACAACGGGAACGTCTTTGTCGCATGTCCAACCAGGTTTTAACGGAATGCACCCAGTTTAATGGAACATGGCCTGACCCGGATGATCCGCGCTGGAGCAGCGGTGAATACGTGGAAGTTCTGTCAGACCTGTTCCCGACAAATAATACCAACTGTTGCTCGATAGCTGGCACCACAACAGCTTTATCGACCGGTAATTCTGTTGAATTCCCCCTTGAATAGCATCGTCGAATACCAAAAGCTATATACCATGGCTGCGAGAAACGTACACCTCCATTTCAACAAAAATTAAATTACATTTCTACGACTGCATTTGCTATTCAATTTTTATGATGAAACCAGTCGCAAAAATTACATCAAAATATTAACAAAAAGTGAATTCATAAATCTAAACATAATTTGGTAAAAATGATATTTTATAGTTTCAAGCATTTCAAATTTTGGATCTTACGAGAAATTAATTTGTATTAATAAATATCATTAAAGTAATACTAATGAGTAGAAATCATAAAATTTGTTGTATCAAAATAATTCGTTTTTCCAGACATATTATTATATAAAGAATTTTATATCTATTTTCATGGTAAATGCAAAGGAATTGTTCACTCAATGTGTTAACATATTTCTTCTGTTAATAATTACGAAGCCACTTTGACGCTGAATAAATAAATCGTTCAATTAAATGAATGATTCGTGAAATTGTATAATTATTTACAGTAGCGGACACATGTTTAAGATCACTTGGGAAACGGTATAACTCTTTTAAAAACTGAACTAAATAACTTGAATTTTTTTTAGATGATAGAGGAACCAGTCTACTAAACAATGACTCTAATACATTTTTTTAAATTTTGCGATTACTTGGAATGACAAAAAAATTAAAATACTCATGGTTTTCAACTCTTCTATCTGAGCCTGTAACGAAAATGTAAAAAATGCATTTTGTAGATCTTGGTTAGTTATATGCATGCTGAAAATTTCATCGATATTGGTTAATGCAAAATCAAGTTACAAGCGTCAAAAGATTTTAAAAACTGCAGATTTCTCACACTTATTGGTCAAAAGCGTTCAAATTCGGAACAAAAATGCGATTTTTGCGTTCTTCAATTTCTTATAGCTCCTATCAAGGTCAACCAATATCGATGAAATTTTCAGTATGCATGTAACTAACCAAGAACTACGAAATGCATTTTTAAAATTTTTGTTACAGGCTCAGAAAAAAAAGTTGAAAACCATGAGTTTTTTATTATTTTTTTTGTCATTCCAAGTAATCGTAAAATATTAAAAAAAGTATTAGAGTCATTGTCTAGTAAATTGGCCCATCATCTAAAAAAATTCAAGTTATTTAGTTCAGTTTAAAAAAAAGTTATACCGTTTTCCAAGTGATCTTAAATATATGTCCGCTACTGTATTTAGCGAGATACTTTTGGTTCGATGAAATTTCACGTAACGCGCATCTGTAAGATGTTAACGTTCAACAAAAATCGATATTCTCATCGACCCGTGGAATTAAAAGCTCGCGAAAATGTTAGAAACGAGGCAACGTTTTCGTGACAATTTACTGACAAGATATCTGTGTATTCAACAGCGGAAAGTTTCATACCTGCTGAACCACCCTTCGAACTCTGGCAAACGATACTGATTGCTGTCTGCCTCGCATTATGTATACTGTTAACTGTCGGCGGTAACATTCTCGTTCTTCTGGCGTTTATCGTAGATAGGACTATCAGGCAACCCAGCAACTACTTCATCGCATCATTAGCAGCCACCGATGTGCTTATTGGTGAGCTTTTTCACAAATTTATCGATTTGCGATAGCTATGTAACTTAGCTTCATAACTTTCTCCATAGAAAAACTTTTCCATAACGCAATAACAGGGAAACAAAATTAAAAAGTATTATTCAGTGAATTGTTTTTAGAAATAATCTAGACAATGAATTTCAAAGATAATTCAGTGCCCTGAGAGTGGCATTGTTTAAATGAATACATGTTTGTGTATAATTGTTTTTTAATCAATTTTATCGATCATTAAGGTTTTATAATTTTCGATTATTTATTGATTCCCTTTCAATGATTTTCTGTAATTTCAAATACAGTAAGTCTGCTCTTTTAAAGCTCGTACAATTTGTTCAATGATATTTGATAATTAATTTCACATTGATTGTTTGTTTACGCAAAGAGTCTGCAAAATAATCTGATAAATCTGCGAATTCTCGGTTTCAAATTGTGCCAAATAATTTTGAGAATCACTGTACAGAATGTTCCAAAAATATGGTAAACCATTGAAAAGGGTGATTCCTGGGATGATTTGGGAAAACTTTTTCCTTAGCGAAAATGTTCTTCGCAGCTTCGTTAAGAAGTTATTAACGAATCAACACGGACCAATCAGAGATCGAGTACAGCCGGCGCCTGCCCAGGGCAACACCAAGCGCAATGTCGCAGCGCGCCGCATTGGTTGCGCTGGAACGCGTCAGATGTACTCGCACTCCGATTGGTCCGTGTTTTTCGTTAATAACTCATTAACGAAGCAAGGGAGAATATTTTCGCAAAGGAAAAAATTACTTCAAATCACCTAAGGAAGCTCTTTTCAAGGGCCTGCAACAATTTCGGAACACTTTGTACACTGTTTTACAAACGTGACAAAATTGAATTTATTTAAATTTCGTACTATTGCGACGATGATATGCGATTGAATAAAGAAGTTTATTTAGACATTCCTCTGGTAAACATTCTCATCAGCCCTTTCAAGAGCTTACAATAATTTCATACATATATCAACGATATCTCCATGTTATCGCCTCAATAAAAACCTTCCATGAAAAACAAAATAACCCACGAGTCTCGTGTTGCACAGGTACAGTCTCGATGCCGTTCTACACGGTATACGTCCTAATGGGCTACTGGAACCTGGGTTCGCTGCTGTGCGACCTGTGGCTGTCCGTGGACTACACGGTCTGCCTGGTCTCCCAGTACACGGTCCTCCTGATCACGATCGATCGGTTCTGCTCGGTAAGAATCGCGGCTCGCTACCGGAGTTGGCGGACCAAGAACCGAGTGATCTGGATGGTGTCGATCACCTGGATCATCCCGGCGCTGCTGTTCTTCATCAGTATCTTCGGCTGGGAGCATTTCACGGGTCGCAGGGACCTGAGCCCCGGCCAGTGCGCGGTCCAGTTCTTGAAGGAGCCAGTGTTCAACACCGCTCTGATCATAGGCTACTACTGGACCACGCTGGTGGTGCTCTTCATCCTCTACGGCTGCATCTTCAAGACCGCGTACGACATGCAGAAGAAGAGCGAGATCAAGCAGAGACAGATGCAGTTCGTGGTGGCGCAGAGCGCGGGCGCCATGTCCGGGATGGCGGCCAGCATAGGGATGTCGAAGACGCAGAGCACCCTGCTGAGCCAGGACAAGCAGAAGATGGCTACCTCGGCGGAAGACGGCGGCGACGGCGACGGGTCCGGGCAGAAGACGTCCTCGAAGACATCTACGGGTCTCGGTGACTCTGCGGGCAAGCAAGCCAGCACCTTGGCCGCTGAGACCGAGAGGTCCGAGCCCTCCAGCAGCCCCATGGTCGACTCCGACGAGGAGAGCACATGCGGCCCGTCTCAGCACCAGACCCACCTCAGGAAGCGGTCGTCGGTAGCGGACCTGGTGGCGCAGTCGGGAGCGTTGCAGGTCTTCGTCGCCAACAGCTGCCTGAACGGCATCGTCCCAGCGAAGACCCTACCTACTAGTCCCACCTGCGACACGCAGAGGGCGCAAGCACTGCCCAGGATCCAGGAGACCAGCCTCCTGGACACTGAAAACCCGGACAGGTCGAGCAGCCACACCCTGACGCCGGAGCAGTCGCTGAATTCCAATGGGGAAGCGGGTAGCAAGCAAGCTATACCCTCCGCGGAGACCTCGCCACCCACGCAGCCTACCAGGTCCATCAGCGGCAGCCAGCAGAACATCATCCCCCCGCCTATGCAGTTCCAGAGCAGCCCTCCAGTCTCGGACAGCCCCCTAACTTCCTCGTCGATCGACAGACCTAAGTCCCTAGTGGTGACTCAGAGAACCTACGACATCTTGACGGGTCTCGACAGCGCCGACTTGAGGTTCATGGACGAAAGCTCGGTGATCCTGCCCAGCCCCTCCTGCGAAAGCCCGCCGTCCTCCTTCTCTTGCAGCCTGGCGCACCCGCTCTCCACGGCACCGTCTTCGCCGATCCTCGGCAACACGACAGCAGCGCCTAGCACCACGCTGCTGCAAACAGCGCTGATCAGGGCGACGCAGGCGCAATCTATCAACACGCAGAGCAAGCACAGCCAGCCGCCCATGTCCAACGCTTCCAGCCAGACCCATCCTCCCAGGGTGTTCATAACGCAGAAGACGAACGTGGCGTCGCAGACCTCGCCGGTCAGCAAAGTGCAGACGGAGGTCAGCGTGAAGGTAGAGGACGCTAAGCAGCAGCCTGTCACCACGGTCGTCAGCGCCCCCGAAACGTTCAGCATGGTGATGAGCCAGCTTTCCGAGGCCAGCAAGGCCGGCAATGCTCAAAACTCGTCTTCTAGCGGCAGCATGGTGCCCACGATCTCTGGAACCACCGGGAACGAGGACTCGAAGAAGCAGAAGAAGAGGGAAAGCAGGGACGGAGGGTCCAGGAGGGACTTCGTCAAGACTTTCGGGAAGAGGCTCAAGAGCAAGACTCAGAGGAGGGACCCCACCATGGGTAGGCAGAAGTCTCGGACCGAGAACAGAGCTGGAAAGGCGTTCAGAACCATCTCCTTCATCTTGGGGGCTTTCGTCGTCTGTTGGACGCCGTATCACATCATCGCCCTGGTGGAGGGCTTCTGCTCCGATCCGCCCTGCACCAACGGACACCTCTTCATGTTCTCCTATTTCCTCTGCTACGCCAACAGCCCCATGAACCCCTTTTGTTACGCGCTGGCTAACCAGCAGTTCAAGAAGACCTTCACCAGGATACTGAAAGGGGATCTGCATATGACGTAAAGGGGACGACCGGAAGGCCTTCCGTAGATAATTTTGAAATTTACGCATCGTGCCATGTCGATGCTGAAACTGGACAATAAAAGTAGCATAACGACGCGATACACAGTATTGTGCGCTTTCTGTATATAGAGGCTAGGACGCGTTCATAGAGTTTTAGGTCGCATTCAACGGTGTATATACTGTATATGTATGGGTGTTTGTTTAACGCGTACGGACTTCCGAAAACCCGCCGAACTCGATCGCGCTGAAACTAAGCACATAGCTTCGTTTCGCATAGAAACAACGTTTGCCAGATGGATTTCTTGCGACTCGAAAGTCGCCGTACAAAATTTTGCATAAATTACTTTACCATTTTCACGCGCGAGTTTCTCTCAAATGTCGCGCAGAGCCCTGCTTTAGGTGAAAAGAGCGTCTGCGAAAGGGACTTTTGGCGGCTCGAAAATTAAAGCGCACAATTTTACAGAAATTGCTTTACCATTTCTCTGATTTTCCGTAGAACTCTGTTTTAGGTGAAAACCGTGTTTGCGAGAAGGATTTTCGGCGACTCGAAAAACTGTTGTGCTCAAATTTCGTCCAAATTCTGCATAGAACCTTGTTTTAGATACGAACTATATTTGCGAGAAAGTTTTTTGGTTATCGACAACTAGGTTAGGTGTAGGTTAGATTCAAGTTTACTTTCAGTATAATTCACATTTTACATAGAGCTTTTTAACTCGCATAAATACAACATTCGCTAGAAAAGTTTTTGGTTGCTCTAGTCAAAATCGAAATTGTCGAGAAGAATATGTTATTACTGACACGTCACTCTCTGCCTTACCGACATCTAGGTTAGATCTGAGTTGGGTTTGACTTAGCTTTCGTTTCGTTAAAAATCCCTTTCGCAAACATTGTTTCTATGCGAAGTAAAGGTATTTGCCTTTCTGCGTAATCAGATTTGACCGATTTTCGGAAGTTCCTCTACCGATGCGGGGAAGCACGCACCGCGCCGGACAGGTGAATAGATTTAGGGGATGAGTTCGGTGAGCTTTCATGGGGGGGGGGCGGTCGATTTCATGCCGATTCTGTACAATGATTGAAAAATTGTCGACTGAATGGGTCGAAATCGAAACATCAATTTTTGGCCTATTTTCCCGTTTAATTGGATGCGAAAATTCCGGGAAATATCTGGCACGTGTCCAACATATCCAGACACATATTCTGCAATTTAATTTCGACTTTCAAGTTCAGAATCCTGGTTGCGAAAAAACAAGAACCTCAAAATGATCGTAGAAATGCCTGACTTTTTGTTCGAGGATGTTACGCGAGCAAACGACTTGACGGAAATCGATAAATTTATTGCAGACGGTGGGGGAGGGTTCCATGCTAACTGGACGAATCGGTGAAACGGGAATCGCGACGCCAGTGTATCCGGAAAAAATTCGGAGCGGCAGCTTTTTGAATGCGCTGTGCAAATTGGTTGAACTCCAGGTTTCGAAGAAGAAAGATCGCGGGACCGGTCTGGATTTTGTGGCATTGTATTCAATGAATTATGCTGCGCACACACGGTATTCGGTCCTCCGTGTCTCTCCAGCGTTTCGTTTGATGCTGTGTCAATAATAAACAGCGGAGATGAAGATTCTCATCCAGGATTGCAACTTCGTTTCGTTACTGCCTTTTCGTCATCGCAAACATCCGCAAGCACGGGGATTGTTGGAGTTAGAGATTCTCCGTTGACTCTTTTACGGTGTCTCGAGGCAGGTCTTGAACCCCACATATAGGGTGTACCGTAATTTCGGCTAAATCAGGTCCATCGAATCCACCAAGGAAGATAAGTGACTTTTGAAAACACTTTACAATTTGCTCGGGCATAAATCATCACTGGACACGAATGTTTATTGCATGCTATAATTTATACTGTTTCTAACAATACAGAACAAATGCCATAACTTTCCGAAAATCTGTCCAAAATGAAACGAGGAGATTGTTAAGATTTATGAGTTTGTTCATGGGAGCAAATCGGTTTTCAATAACTCATTTTTTTAATATAGTTTTCTGCAAAATTGTTTATTAGATTTTTATTGCAATAGTATGATATACCTTCAAATTAATTAAAAATCTGCTATGCTTTTAATTTTTGACAATTTTATGGAATGTCATGGTATTCTGAAGTGAGTCAGTGCCATATTGAATGGTATTAACTATAGTATGTAACGAAAATTTGTGTATGGCATGGAATATTGCTCGAACAAATTCGAAAAAGATTTTCAGTGTTATGTTACTTAGATTTTCTGTGACAACTCCCCAAAAAGACCTACCTTTTGGGCGATTATATTCGAAAAAAGGGCTGCTGAAATAGTGAACGTTGCAACCTGCACAAGTCAATTACAACAATACATGAAAGAGACGCATAATCATTTTTTAGTTATTCATAACTTCTATGATATGCAGTGACAATGGCAGCGCATTTACAAATTGGAGATTTTTATGTAAAATACGTTGCAATTACCGCAGGATGCATTTTTTAAGAATTTGTACTTTTCGGGAAATAAATTTAAATCCACGAAGTTGTTAAATTTTACAATTGAGGATTATTTTTTAAATAATGAGAAAAAAAAATTAATTATTCTTGTTTTTTGTGAAATTTAATTTTGTAAAAAATTTCCGATCAACTTGTAAAAAGTTTCGATCTCTCTCTCTCTCTCTCTCTCTCTCTCTCTCTCTCTCTTTTGACTTGGGAAATTTTTCGTCTTGTTTGAAAATTGTTTAAACATATTAAAATGTTTGTAGTGTTACAAAAATATGCATATGCATATATTTGGATGGATTTAGTAAAAAATTTATAACATAAAAAATTGAAATTCAATTGAATGCCTAACAGTTTCTAATTTGCTTAAATAATTGTTTAAACATGTTTTGATGTTTGCAATATTATAAAAATATATGTCATTGTATTCTATAGAATCTTGTATAGAATTATTCTATGCACCGAATATGTTTATGTTTAAATAACGCAAACAAATTTCTGCGATTTTCTTCTTTAAATAATTTTCTAAAAATACTGTTAGTACTAGACGAAAAAACGATTTTCAAATTCGAATTTTCTGCAACAAAATCGCATCGATTATCAAAATGCAAATAATGCAACGATATAATTGGAAATGTCGAATGAAAACAAAAATGAAAAGCGATTAAAAATAAATAAACATTTGTTTTTCGAATAAGTATAAAATTTTCTTGGAAGGAAAATCGCTATTGTCACAGCATCACAGGTTCGTCACAGTATTTTCGTACAATTTAAAGAATTTTATAATGTTTAAATAATCCCATTTCGACTGAGCATGCTTTTTAAACATATATTTTTAAAGACACTGACACCGCTCGCGCAATGGCGTCGCGACGCCGAATTTAATGACAGTAAGCCTTAATACTGCTAATCGAGCTTCCGATACAATCGCTGATCAATAAAAAAAGCTTTCCTAATCTTTTTTAAGCCGTCATATTTATCATATATATCGATTTTCAATACGTGCAATTTTGTCTATAGAAAAGAAAGAATGACATTACATTTTGTTCTACAATATTTCGTGACATTTTCCATTAAATTTTTTAAATTTATATCGAGGGATGGGAACATAGTGATGCATTTAGAAATTATTTTTGCAAATTATGCTGCATTCGGCGAATTGTTTAATTTTCCTTCTATTAAAACTAGCGGAAATTAAGCCGAACACATTTCGAATATTAATTAGGAAATGTAATTTTGTAGCAATTATTTCAAAGATTCATTAGGCCCTTAAATGCATAATTTTTTTAAATGTTAATTTCAAAAATAAATTGTCTAACAATAATATTAATTTTCAAAAATGAAATAAATTTATTAAAATTGAGATTGTGAAAATAAAATTGATTTTTATAAAATCAAGATTCTGCAAACAAGATTGATTGTTAAGAAATGTGTTTACAAAGTTAATTTCTAAAATTAAAAAGTTAGGTTAAAAATTGATACTAAAAATTTTGTATCACTTTTCCACACAGTTTTACTAAAATCCCTTGCTGCATTATAAATAGTTGCATTGTCAAATGGCAACATTGTGCATTTAGGGGTTGAACAAAGTCGAATTTCAGTTCGCTTTTTTAATGCAATGTGAACACAGTCAGATGGGTTCCGGTTCTGAAATTCATTATTCAAGTGAAAAGAAAATTCATGGTTATGTCCAAAGTCAATGTATATTTTTCAAACTTCACTGCCAATGGCGATAGTCATCCTACTGGTTTCGTTAACTTTACTATAAGGCCGCCGTGAATCTTAAGTATTATTATCAGTGATAACGATCGCTCTTCTTCTACCGTGTATAAATCTGTACTGCACGATGTATAATAATTGACACTAGCATTAGCTCCCGCCATACTGTTCATAGTACTCGCACGTGAATCGTTTCAAATAAAATTCTTTGGACTTCATAATATGTTTTGAAACGTGTGTACGTATATTTATTGTACAAATTAGAATAACACATTTTAGGTTATACGATTTTGAAATACATTTTACAATATAATATTTTCAAATATCTTGCTCCATGTGGAAATTAATTTTTCGAGATATAATGAGGTACGAAATATATTTTAAGTTAGAAAAGTTATATGTTAATTTCGAATTGTATTTCAAAATATACATATCAATTTAAAAATATACTTTAATGAATTTGGATAGTAGACAATTGTACATAACTGTAAAATATATTTTTAAAAATCCGGACAATACTGTCCAATTTTAAAAATAAATACAGTTTAATACACAGCAGTACTACCGAATTTGCTTAATATATTTTATTTTACATTCATTAAAATAAATTTGAAAATATTTTATGTATTATTTCAAAATTTTAATATACGTCAATTTTTGACTTTCATGTGTTTTAAAATATAGATTTTAATTGAAGTACATATTTTAACTAATTTAGTAGACATATTTCATTTTACATAATTTTAATATACATA